CTTTTTCCAGGACAGCTCTTATCAGAACTACGGCTTGCCCAAGGTCATCCAGCAGGTGCAAGTGGAGGAGTGGGGAAGGGAAGAAGAAGAGGAGGAGGAGGAGGAGAAGAGATTGCATTTACACCCCCACCCTTCACTACCCAAAGGAGTCTCAGAGTGGCTTACAATCTCCTTTCCCTCTCCCTCCCCGCAACAGACACCCTGTGAGGTAGGTGGGCCTGAAAGAGCTCTCTCGAGGACTCCTCCTGAGAGAACAGCTCTGAGAGAACTTGTGACTGACCCAAGGTCATGCCAGCTGGCTCCGTCTGGAGGCATGGGGGAATCAAACCCGGTTCTCCAAGATTAGAGTCTGCGCACTTGACCACGACACCAGACTGAACTTTAAAGCCTTACAGGGCGTGGGAGGAGGGGTGTGTGTGTCCGAAGGACTGTCTCCTCGTAATCCGTTCCTTCCCCGGGGAATTAAGACCAGAGGGAGAGGCCCCCCCTGACTGCCCCACTGACCAAAGAGTGCTTAGAGGGAACACTGGCCTGGACCACTCACTCTTGGGCTTTAGGAAGCGGCTGAAGGTGGTTTTACCCAGGACAACATTTGACTAGGATGGAACAAGGTGGGTGGCCGTGTTCGTCTGCCTGTCGCAGTGGAAAAGAGCAAGAGTCCAGGAGCACCTTCAAGACCAGCACAATACGTTGGCAGGAGAGGAGCTTTCAGGAGTCACTGCTCACTTCTTCAGAGGCAGAAGCAGTGAGCAGTGTGACTCCCGAAAGCGACTACCCTGCCGCAAATTTTGTTAGTCTTCAGGGTGTTCCGGGGCTCTCGCTCTTCTCTGACACTTGATTAGTTCCCCCCGCCCCACCTGCTGCTTTAGAGTATTGATTTCAACTCGTAGGTTTTATGGAAGTATTGGGTTTGATCATTATTTACATTGTAAGCTGCCTTGAACGCCTAGAAGGTGGAATTAAATACTAATAATAAAGGTTTTTAAACAATGTTTTAAACAAATGTTTCAAATAAATAATAAAAAATAGAGAGACAGTTTGGTGTAGTGGTTAGGAGCACGGCCTCTAATCTGGGAGAACCGGGTTTGATTCCCCCACGCCTCCCCATGCAGCTGCCGGTGTGACCTTGGGTCAGCCACAAGTTCTCTCAGAGCTGTCCTCTACCATTCATTTATTATGGTCAGAGACCCATCGGACAGCATACAAAATCAAAAAAGACAATCCCAGGTTACCAAAAAACATTACAGAAGTGAGACATCATAAGACGTTTTAGAGAGCTGTTTTCTCAGAAGCAGTCCTCGAGAGAGCTCTCTCAGCCCCACCTACCTCACAGGGTGTCTGTTGTGGGGAGGGGAAGGGAAAGGAAATTGTAAGCTGCTCTGAGAGAGACTCCTTTGGGTAGTGAAGGGCGGGGTATAAATCCAATCTCTTCTTCTCTTCCTCCACATGCAGCTGCTGGTGTGACCTTGGGTCAGTCACAAGTTCTCTCAGAGCTGTTCTCTCAAGGACAGCCCTCAAGAGAGCTCTCTCAGCCCCACCAACCTCACAGGGTGCCTGTTGCGGGGAGGGGAAGGCAAAGGAGACTGTAAGCCGCTCTGAGAGAGACTGCTTTGGGTAGTGAAGGGCGGGGGAATCACTACAATCGTTTCCCAATCTCTCTAAATGAAAAATAAAATAATAATAAATCTTTTACGTAAGTAAAACAAGAAAAGCTGTGAGGCGAGAAAGAAGGGCCCGTCCCAAAGTGAGCTCCAGGGGAAAGTGAAGATGTACGTTCAAGACTCCCCGATCCAAAAGCTCCGACCGCTACACCAGGCTTCCATGCCCTTCGTAGAAGGCTGCCGCAGACGCACGGGTGGGTCTCCCCGCCAGGCCACATGCAAAGGGCTCCGGCCTGGGGGCTTCCAGACGGTCTCACCTCTGCTGGCCGGATCGACGTGGGCCACTTGGATGTAGCCACTCTGGCAGCCAAAGGCCGTGAGGCGTTGCCCCGAGTCCGGAATGTTGAACACGTCCAACCACAGTACGCTGAGGGGGGGTGGGGAGAGAAGGAATGGAAGGGGATGACTTGGAGCGGCTTCCTGAGCGAGACAGGCAGGCAGAGGGGAAGGCACAGGACCGGGGAGCTGTTTCTCGGGGCGGGGGTGAAAAGTGTCATCAGGTTGCAGCCAATTTATGTAGGGTTTTCTTTCTTTCTTTCTTGCATTTTTTTCTATTTTTCATCTGTGTGTGTCATGCCGACCTCTGGTGACTAATCCTCACTGGGGGCCTGGAGGATATTCAGAGAGGTGGCCGAATACAGCCTGCCCCTGCCTCCCGACTGCTGGTATTCCAAGGAGGTCTCCCCTCCAAGGACTTGCCAGAGTCGACCCTGCTGAGCTTCCGAGATCTGACGGGATCGGGCTGGCCTGGCCTACCCAGGTCAGGGCGCAACCCTTTCAGGTTTCCAAGCCAAGAGCCGTTCAGAGGCGGTTTGCCGTTGCCTGTCTCTGCGTAGCAACCCTGGACTTCCTTGGTGGTCTCCCACCCAAGTATGAACCAGGGCTGACCCTGATGAGCAGGGGTCGTTTCCTGCGGGAGCGCACAGGAGCGGCGCTCCGGCAGTAAAGAGCCCAGGGGGGGCGGCCACACGCAACAAGCCCCGCCCCCTGCTCCCAGCAGCCCTCAGTCAGAGCAAGAAGCAGCCAGGTAAGTTGCAGAGCCCTCCCCCCACGGCCCCACGGCCCAAAACAGTCCAGTGGAACCTTTAAGATCAAGTTTTATTCAGGTACAAGCTCTCCCTCCTCTGTGAGGGCAGATCTGCACGTTCCTCCCCCCCCCCCCGATTTC